CCTTCCTTCCTTCCTTCCTTCCTTCCTTCCTTCCTTCCTTCCTTCCTCCCTCCCTCATAGATTTAAGTAACAGCTGACTCCAGCCTCATTCCTTCTCCAAAAAGTAGGTATTTGACTGCTCTGCAGTAGGAATAGCCCTCTAACTGAATTAGATTTTAGTGTTTAGTTATATCTCTTATACTGACTAACCTGATTTTCTGCCAAAAATAAAAGTGAATGTTGGTGCCTGGTCAATCTGTTTCATAGATTATTTTAGTGTTGAATGTTTACTATGCAGAGTCTATGAAATAGAATGACCAGGCATTAACTTTTATTTTTTTACCTGATCAAAATTCATACTCTGCTTTTATATGTACTTATTATGTAAAATGATTAACAATAGTTACAGGAAGTCCAAATTTAATTAAAAAGAGAGTGAAGCATGAATGGGTTATTTGGTTTAAGAATAGAATCAAACAATATAGAGAATGAAACACAGAAAATAACTGAATTAGCTGAGCACCCACGACCTACCATAAAAGTCAAAGAGGAAAATATTAATATCCTCTTACTAGATTATTAAAATGAAGTGAAAAAATCCAGGGCAGCAGGAGAACAATGGTTGGCACATGGTGCATATTTCTAAGGGGTATTTTCCATTACATGTTTCCAAGGAATGTGTTACTGAAAAGGCCTTTTCATCATTAACTCACTCAAATGTGAAGGCAAGGAGTAAAAATGAGAACTAGAACTAAGGGGAAATTTCCTGTCAGAACAATTAACCGGTGGAATGCCTTTCCTCCAGAAGTTGCAAGTGCTCCAACACTGGAGATTTTAAAGAATGATCAGAAAACCATTTGCCTGGGATTCCTGCTTGAGCAAGGGTTTCGGTTAGAAGACTTCCAAGGTCCCTTCCAACTCCATTGTTCTATTAAGTAGGCAGAGAAAGACAAGAGTGAAACTTCAAAAAAATATTGTAGATGAAGAGACGACCCTTTAGAAGGGATTATGTGTTATCAAGTTGTTGCCAACTCTTAAACACCAATAAAATTTCTCCATGATTTAGAACAGGAATGTCCATTCTTGGCAACTTTCAGACTTGGGGACTTCAGCTCCCAGAATTCTTCAGCCAACATGATTACATATTCCTGATTTAGAAGAAGAGATCCCTCAATTGTATGGGCACAATGGAAATCTTGGAATGTGGCAAGGGTATTAGGGACACGCTCCCAACATGGCTCGCATGAGAGCTAGGCAATCCTAAAGCACTTCCTAGTCAACTGGTAAAGGTGTTCCTCTCCAGCTTTTCAGGTGTGCAGCCTCACAAAGCTAGGAAAGAGCGAGCTATGCCGATTTCAGGAATGGATTTTCCATACTCATCTGGGACCAGTCTGAGGAATTTGCTAATCTCATTTATAGGGAGTTTATTAAGACTGTCTTTCTGTCAATGACTTCTTCCAGGTCCCAATGGGCCTGACTTCAATTCCCCCATATTTCTCCTTTTCCCTTCTATTGTTTTCCAGGGTCCCCACAATGTCTCACCCTAAGATATTTTCCATTATTTCATCTCCTCTTCCCATTCCGTTATCTGGTAAATGGCCTGCTTTCACAGGGATGCAACCAGCCATCATTTGCTCTCACCAGAAATTACTCTGGGATCTTCTTGAAATCCAAATACATTATTTGAAATACAGATTAAACTTGAGGCTGGTGCTTCAGCTTTCCTTCTTTCCTTCCTTTTTTCCTCCCTCCCTTCCTTACATCCATCCTTCTTCCCTTCCCTTCTACTAGATGTCTCTATAATTAATAATATCGAGCAGAGGAGTGACTGTGCGCTACCTCCTACGGCATTATGACTGGGCATGCTGGAGCAGAGCTGGGCTTTAAATATGCAGGGATTTAGAAGTTAAAAACAGTGCTTGGTTCAGAGTCAGAAACAAATGAAGAGCCAGTAAAAAACAGAAAAATCCTATAAACCTATATCTGCAGTTCTTGAGTTCACTAACTGCAACAGCTACCCTTCAAGATTCAGTCTCTTGTATAATGTATCATATAAATCCCAAAATTCCTTCTGACTGAGCCTGGAAATTTATAACATCCACATTTGTTGCAGGTGCTTTTTCTTTCAATGACTGTCCAGTTCAGTTAAAATGCCTAATATAGCTCACAGCTGAACCTCCTTCTCAGATTCCACCCAAAATCCTAAGATACTTATCTCCCCTCACAAAGCTGGTTAGGAATTGTATTCCAAACTGAATTTCTTTGGCTCTTGAGCTTCTTTCACTGCTGCCCTGGTGACACTCAAACTGAATAATAAAAAAATTAAAGTCATGCTCAATATGTGCAGAGAAATATCCATGCACAGAAATTAAATGCTCTTTACAGCACAACTGTTTGTTTTTTTCCAAAGTCCAGGATACTGGACTTTGTACTGAAATACATAAACATATTTTGAGCAATAGCAGCATAATTTCAGAGAATTGTGCTTCATATATAACTTCTTTCTCTGTACATTTCCTCCAGAGAAAGAGGGAGGGAGGAAGACATTTTTCCCTAAAAGAAGAACAAAACAATATTGGGTATGAAGTCAAAAATCATATAAATGATTAGAGATTGAATAAGTTCACACAAGACACAAAATGTTAATTGTGGTGGGGTTTTTTAATGTTTCAACGATCACTCCATTCTAGTCTACATTTCCCTACTGTTGAACCCAGTCATGAAGTTTTAGAGACTAAGGTCACTCTCCATGAGAACTTAGAGTCACTGATTTTTTTTCTCATAAGAACGGAAGCATTCCCTAGAGCCACTTTGGTGAGATAGGTTAGATAGTATAGAAATGTAAAAAATAAATAAATAAATATTAGACACATCCCTCAATTTTCATACGTGAAATGTTGGGTAGTATTAGCATTAGGCTCATATCCACATATTGATAAAAAGTTTCTGTCTATCTAAAGGCCAGTAAGGGTCATTCCCATCTCAGAATGTATAGAAACTCATCTCAGGTTGAGTTATTTTTTCTCCATACCATCCATGGTTGCTTGAATTTTGACTTTATTAACAGATTAACATAGTTGGAAGAGACCTCGGAGGTATGCTTGTTCCTGCTCAGGCAGGAAATTCTTTACCATTTCAGATAAATGTTCTCCAAACTCTTCTTAAAAACTTCCAGAGTTGGAGCACCCACAATTTCCGGAGGCGAGTCATTCCACTGATTAGTTGTTCTAACTGTCAGAATAGTTATCCTTAATTCTAGATTCTCTCCTTGATTAGTTTCCATCCATTGCTTCGTGCCCTGACTTCAGGTGCTTTGGAGAGTAGGTTGACCTCCTCTTCTTTGTGGCAGCCCCTTAGATATTGAATTAGCCTTATTGCTTAATTTCTCATCACAAAATAAACCATAACCTAAGCATACTGTTAGGGTTTGACTATAGACTGAGGCAAAAACTAAACAATCAGATGTCACTCCTGACCAATCTTCTGCCAATGTTAGCCACATAATTGTAGGGCCTAAAATTTGCTATCCTGTATGCTTGTGACTCAACCCCAAAATGCTCCCCATTGCAAGAAGGGAAGCAGACAACCTTTTTTGGCATTAATATGATGGTGTTGTCACGATAATAGCTGGCTTCTCATATGTCACTAAGCCATGGTTGATTGATTTGCAGGAAGTGCAGTATTTTAAGGCAGACATTGATGGCTTGACCTTCTGTGCAAACCTTCCTTTTAAGGTTTCAACTAATCATGATTTTAAAAACAGAAAGTAAATCTGAATGTGATGTATGAAATACTTTGCTCAAATATGCAGCAGAATGAATTAATGCATTGAAAGTTTATCACATTCCAGAGTTAAGAAGGTAATGAAGACACCATCATAGGAAAACAGTGGGGTAGGAGGTAGGGAGGGAAGGAATCAATGACCCATGTTTCTTCTGTAGTTAGGTGAAAGGGAGAAAGACCTCTAGATCATGGTTTTCATATTTTTTTCCCACTGAAGAGCCTGTTGGTTAAAAAGAGAGAGAGAAGCGAAGCTGTAGTAGAACATTGGCTATGTTTGAATTAATTCATTGTTGTTGGTTTGTCCTTAGTCTCTCACTGAACCCCATTAAGTTCTTGTAGAACTCTACTCCAGTTAAGGATGCAAACATGTGCTTTTACAGGAAAAGATGCCCATTGATTTCAGTGGGACTTAATTCTCAGTAATCAAATTCAGCATTGCAGTGCGCTTGAATTAGGTGTAAGAATTGAGTTGAATGGATGCCTTCTATTCTCTGAATTGGGTAGACTGACTACCTTTGTCCAAAGGAAATCAGCAGGAGAGAGAATTGCTTACATTTATGTATTATGACAACCCAACATATAAGACGTTTGTCTCAGTTCCTTTGCCAGACAAGTAAATAATTGAATTATTAGAGTTCCCCTCTTAAATTCAGGTAGAAAACGTATTTAATGCTGCATCAGAGAAATCATGTCATTGGTTTTACAAGGGTCTCTTTAAGCCCTTACAATTCTATGCTTCTGTTACTATTTTAAGAAAAACCTCCATTACATAGTTCAACTCACTTGGTAAGTGATTGAATCCCATCTTTGGGGTCAACCGAACAATAGCAGGAGACAATGGTTCTGTCTTGGCAAGTTATACAGATGCCACCCCAGCATGGTCAAAGTTATTTAAAGACCTAACCCAGAGGGAGCAGATTCAAACTGGAAACTGAGAAACAATAGCGCTTCCAAAGTATGTCTGACCTTTTACAACAGCTGCTTCCAATGAGAGCACAAAAGGCCCTGCCCCCTTTGGTTGTGTCAAATGAAGTCCAAAAAGATGTGTGAGGAATGTGGAGAAAGTTGGCCTTAACCGCTCTTTCGTACAAGTACAAAATCTGTAGTAGGATCCTTCCTCAAGGCTATTCTGTACAGCACAAAGGCACTGAGTGAACCTTGTTCAATAGTAGGGCAAATCAGAATTTGAAGGATGAAGGGACACAGAGGTTTGAATGCGGATAATCACTAAGCTAACAAAAGACAATGATAACTAACTATACTTCCTGTGTCAATGCTATTTGGGACAACTCGTGTAAGGTTTCAATCCCTCTTCAGATATAATGCTCTTGGGTTCAACGCCCTCATTCCTTTCTTGACTTCCACAATTGGAGCTTAATATGAAGCAGACTTCCAAGACAAACTAATTTGGAAGTGAAGGACTTGAGAGAATATTATTTCTATTCTCACACTCAGTTTAATCCTAAATGGACCCTCTTCAAGGAGACCTGGGGTACTATAGAAGAGTAACCAAGTAGCAGTCAATTTTAAAATCAATATCATTTTTCAAAAGAAAACCAATTGAAACTAGTTTAATTTTATTTATATATCACCAACTGGAAAAGGGACAACTTAACATCTAAATGTTTTCCCCTGAAGCTTAAATGTCCTTTAGTAGATCTTCCAATATTTTAGATGAGGAAATTATATATTGGCTAAATGCTTTCTATTATTTTCATTTTTTACCTAATAATTATTGGCTGTAATTGGGGGCAACTGAGGGGAAGAGTCAAAGAAAAGAAAGATGCAATAGCTATCAGTATCCATCTGAGGTCCTGTCCCATTTGTATCGTACTGATCTTTTACCCTGGCCATGAGACAGCCCTAACTGGAACAGTGAAATGCTACATTCATTCTTCTACCATATTCAGCCACTACTATACCCAGTAGAGATTTCTTGTAAATGAACCTGCTACTGAACCCAAAGGCTATGTGATCCAAAGTTTATATAAGTTGTTCATCATTTGCCTAAACTACTAAGCTAAAGGAGGACCAGTAATTTGTGACTTGATGCTAGATTTTGAAAATCTAGCTCGAGTGATTAGTTTATGATGGGAACCCAGACAATTAAGTCACTAAACTGTAGCCCATTAAACCATGGATGGATGTGTGTGTGAACATTACCAAAGCACTCAGATACTGTAAGTCAGCCTGGACTTATCTTTCCTGGACAATCATAACAAATTTAAGTCCTCCTAGTAAAATGTATGTATTCTAAATCTTTTTTATATTTTAATTTTTTATATTGCTACAAGTTTTGATATTGTTCAGAAGCTGCTAACTCTAGTATAATAAATAGTGTCAATTCTCTGGAAGAGTTGTTACATATTATATTTCTATATTAATATAGAGGTACTATATTTTACTTAAACATTCGTTACAGGATATCTAACATTGTTTATTTCATCACACAGACTGGGATAGATTCTCAATATAGTCACACAGGGTACATTTTATATTACAAGTACATACTTCTTTATTCCAATATTATCTACAATTGTTTGCAATAATTATTTGGCAAAAAAAAAATATTCTGAAATATTTTCTTTCTGGTGCTTTGTCACTCCATTTTAGGATTTCTCACAAGTTATATCAAATCTTCCTTCTTTCTCTTTTGACCCACACCCTGAAAACACAAACTCTCTATAGTTTCAGCTATTGATATACTGTATGCGAGTGATATTCTTTTCAAGAACAATTTGGAGGCATCATTGTATACTTTGGAAAACTCTCTGTCATTATAGCACCACATTTAAAAATGCAGATGTGTTGCACTTCAGTGAGGTCCAAATCACTTATTCCAGGGGTTGGATCTGACCAGTGTAACTACAGTTCGAAGATTTACAATTTGCGCGCGCACGTGTGAATTGTCATCAGCTTGCTGCCTGGACAGCTGAGTAGCACTGTGCGCGGGTGCACAGCGTTTGAAAAAGCACTTTTTTCCTGCTTTTTCAATCTAAGCTGTGCCGCGCAAAGCAGCTAAGGTAGAAAAAGCAGGAAATAAAGGTCAGATAAGAGCACAGGTGGGTGGGTGGGCCAAAACAGTAGTAGACACAGAACCAGTTCTATGTCTGCTGCTGTTCAGAGCTAACAGTTCTACAGAGCCAGACATAACCAGTAGAATCCCACACCTGACTTATTCCAAAAGATTTTCCAAATGGCCTAGGATATAAACACAGTCTTGCATTTCCTTGATGTGAAGACCAACTAGCATAGAAATTTTGCCTCCTAATAAAGATAGACTATTTGTTGGAAGGTGGCCAAGAAAATTAAGCCAGATTGACAACCCCTTTAAACTTGTAACTGGGCAATGTGCAGTTCTGCTAAATATACAAATAGTGAACATTTGCACTAAATAACCATCATAGTCTAGTTAGTAGGAAAAAATCAGGTTCAAAGTTCTACTTACACAGTCACATACCTTGCTGGCTGGGTTTGAGCCCATAACTATTTTTCTGTCTAATCTACCTCAAACAATTGCTGGCCTGGGAAGATAAAACGGGAAAGCAGAAAAGGTGAGAGCTAAATAGTACATCAGTTATCCAAAGAGGTATTGTTGGAAATAAAAACATGCTAGGCCATACATTCATTTTTATCACAAAAGTTATCTCTGATAATGACAATTCTGTTCAGAATCTGCTCTTTAAATGTAATCCTTAATGCAATGAAGAGGACACTATTAAGTACAATATCAGTGTAATTCTCATTCAATTTAAATAAAATATGCCATTTTCGTTCTGGGCCTTCCTCATTAGGTTTAGCCTCCAACATGTGACTGTACTGAAATGCTCAACACAATCCCAGGTCCAAAAATGGTTGTGAGGGCAAGATATAAATGAAAACAGGGGCAACCCAGTTCAGCCAGTGGAAGCCTTGTGTGAGAAAATAACCCCATTCAATAAAAAGAAAGATGGAGTTACTTCCCAGATTTTCTCCTACGAAGCATCCAATTATATTCTAATATCCATCTAAAACCTGGTTTCCTCCAGATATGCTGGTCTCCTCTTCCATAAACATGATGCTCATGTTGGCTAGGTTGCTTCATTGGAAACGACTTGTATTCCCTTCTGGGCTCAGCAAGCATTAAAAATAGATTGAGATGGAAACTATTATCTCCCCTAACCTTATTCCTGCATACCCAGCCTGCTGTCTTTAATCACAGTCCTTCTTTGTCTCTTTACTGGCTCTGACTACAATCCATACCATAAAAGGCCAAAGGATTCCACATGGATTTAGAATGAGCTCTCTAGAGCAACAGGCACTGGCCCAGAGGGTTAAGCATACCATTATTAACTATTTCATTATTGCTGTCATTAAGACTGAGACAATGTGCTGAAAATGATCATAATAGGAATGCTAAAATAGAGATGACTGTGATTGTTATAATTATGGCAATGAAAGTGGTTTATTAATAGCCATTCCATAGACATTTGTCAGAGATAATATATGAGACTTAATTCCATAATCTTTCTTACCTGCAAAGAAAAAAACTCAAAAACATATGGCTTATCTATTTCTTTCTTTTAGATAAAACCTAATAACTTCCACCATGTCTGATGAAGAAGTTGAATATGAGGAGTAAGTTGATCAACGTTCAATCACAAATGTATAACTAAATATGTACAAAGTTTGGGGCATTTTCAAGTACTCCCATATAAATTCTCCTTCTGTGATTTATTAATGACACTCTCTGATGGGATTATTGTGGGATTTGGGGATTTTTAGAAGAATTGGGGCAATTGCTTAGTTTACATAAGATTCTCTTTCAGAATCAATGATGAGATTTGTGTTTTAAGGTGTACTGACTTAAAACTGTAGCTTTAAACTTTGAAATATGGCATTTGTTAGTGTTACACGTTGATGAATTGCAAATAGATTGTTGATTTGTCCAAAAACACGTGAAGCAGATACAAAAGCTGAAAAGTCTATTCAATGAAATGGCCTAAAATCAACTTTACTTACTCATTTTTTTCAGCACCTACACCCAGCAAAAGTTTTTGTGGAATTAAACAAAATTACTTTTTGCATAAGTAAATTAATTAAGCAAATTAAACAAATTACTTACTGCCCAGAACAGGAAAATGTAAGAAAAGAAATGTTCCCATTTTCTTTACCTCCCTTCCAAAACATTCACCTTCATTTCTTTTGGCTTCTCATTTATTTTCATCCTATACTAGATAGTATTGCTAGATGTTATGTATAGAAGAGAAATATATAGAGCAAGCAGGACTCAACGATTGAACTACTTCTTGACTTACGACTACAATTTCTGTTGCTAAGCAAAGCTTTTATTAAATGAGTTGTACCCAAATTTATGGATTTTGCCATATGCCTATGGAGATTCTCAGTCATCCATAGTTGTCCCAAAGGTGATTTTTTCAAGAGGCAACTGGACTTTCTTGTTCTTTTTTGAAGACGTTTCACCTCTCTTTCAAGAAGCTTCTTCAGCTCTGACTGGATGGTGAGGAATGGAAGGATTTAATATAGGTATAAATCCTTCCATTCTATATACCATATATAGGTACAAATCCTTCCATTCCCCACCATCCAGTCAGAGCTGAAGAAGCTTCTTGTATGAGAAGCAAAACATCTTCAAAGAAGAAACAGAAAGTCTATTTGCCTCTTGAAAAAAGCACCCTTGGGATTATTTTTTACCATAGTTGTTAAGCAAATCACTGAGTTTTATGTTAACCAACTGGTCATTAAGTTAATCCATGACTTTGCTAGGTGAAATTTGGCTGGGAAGATTGAAACCATGATATCCCTGGATATGGCAAATGTCGTATGCTGGTTGCCAAGGGCCTGAATTGTTATCATGTGACGGTGGGGATGCTGCAATGGTTGCAAGTGTGAGGACCAGTAATAAGTTACCTTTTTTCAATCCCATTGTAACTTCGAATGGTATCTAAATGAATGCTTTTAAGTCAAGTACTACCTGTAGTGCATTGATTTTTGGTCTCCTGCAGACAATCAAAGCTTTACGAGAAATGAATGTGGAGCCTTCTCATGCCTCCAACCAACCTAAAAGACTCCTCTGAAAGGAACTCTTAAATCTCTCAGCTCTTTACAAAATTGCATTAATAACATAACTGAGAGGAACTTGTACCTATTAAAGTAGCTTCATATCAATTTCTATGGATGAGCCCTGGTGGTGCTGCAGTTAAAGGGCAGCATTGCAAGCAAACTCTGCCCATTGTCTGGAGTTCAAACCTGACAGGGCTCAAGGTTGACTCAGCCTTCTATCCTTCCAAGGTCAGTAAAATGAGGATCCAGATTGTTGAGGGCAATATGCTAATAATGCTTTTATATTATAAATCACCCAGAGAGTGCTATAAACCACTATGGGGCATACATAAGCCTAAATAGAAATAGTTATAGCACTTAGACTTATATACCGCTTTATCATGCTTTACAGTCCTCTCTAAGCGGTTTACAGAGTCAGCCTATTGCCCCCAACAATCTGGGTCCTCATTTTACCCACATCGGAAGGATGGAAGGCTAAATCAACCTTGAGCCTGGTGGGATTTGATCTGCCAAATTGCAGTAGGAGTAGCTTGCAGTACTGCACTATAATCACTGCGCCACCGAGGCTCCTAAGTTCTATTTCAGCATCCTTTCTTTATATACCAGGGGTGTCAAACTTGTGACCTGCAGGCCAGATACATCATGCACTGGCCACACCCACCCCCAGTTTAGCAAAGGGAGGGAAAGTTGCAATACGTCACTTGATGACGTGATGTGCGAGTTGGACATCCCTGTTATATACAGTCAATGTGCCTACAGTTTTATAAATGAAGGATTTATTCATATTTATTCTCAATTTCTCTCATTCTCTTTGTCTCTTTCTCTGCCATCTGTGATTCCTACTTCCCAGGGAGCAGCAGGAAGGTAAGGGATTTCTGATCTAACCATTATCACACCCTCAATTCTAGGAATCATTTTTCAGTTTTTTTCTAATTTTAAAACATTGTTGAAATAGTCTGTTTTTCCACTGGTCTTCTTAAAGGTATAGCAAGTATCAGAAAGCTGTCATTGTTATTAATTCAGAGTAATGAATAACCACATGAAGACCAACATCCCAGTTTGCTCATCTCCTCTCATCATAAAATCCAACCTTGATATCTCTTTATTTATTTTCCTCATGGAATTTTTGTCTGTTGCTCTATAACAATGTCAACTCCTTTGAGAGAAAAGCTTCAAAGTGCTGGAATGTTAATGGAGTTGGCTGGCCTTAATAAATCCAATACATAAATAAAAAATAAAGTAAAACTGTTGCTGATTTTTTAGTATTTATTTGATTTGTCAATCACTTACAAGATACAGGTATAAGAATAAACATAATTTTTAATACATGAGATAGATACTTATAAGAAAAATAAAAAAACAACAGGACAAGGATGGTAGGCACAATTAGTGCGCTTATGCACACCCCCTTCAGGCCTCTTAGGAAGTGGGTGTGGTCAATAGTAGACAGTCTAAAGTTTTTGAAAGTTAAAAAGTAGAAAGTTAAAGTTTTTCGGGTTTGGGGAAGAAGCCACAGAGTCAGAGAGAGTATTCCAAACATTGACCACTCTATTGCTGAAGTCGTATTTTCTGCAATCAAGTTTGGTGTGGTTAACCTTGAGTTTGTATCTATTGTGTGCTCTTGTATTGTTATGATAGAAGCTGAAGTATTCATTTGCAGGTAGGACATTGCAATGTATGATTTTATATACTATATTTAGATTGGACCAGAGGCAGCATAGTTCTAGGTTTTCTAGGTCTAGAGTTTCAAGTCTAGTGGCAAAAGGTATTCTGCAATGAGTAGAGGAGCAGATAACTCTTCTTGTGAAATATTTCTGGACTTTTTCAATTGTGCTAATATCAGATACATGATATGGGTTCCAGACTGATGAGCTGTATTCAAGTATTGGTTTAGCAAATGTTTTGTATGCTCTAGTTAGTAATGTGATATTACCAGAGAAGAAGCTATGTAGGATTAGATTAACCAACTCTTAATGCCTTTTTGGCTATGTAGTTACAGTGAGCTCTAGCACTTAGATCATTTGAGATGAGTACTCCAAGGTCCTTGACAAAGTTTGGATCCTCAACAAGGTCTTGACTATTTAGCTTGTATTTTATTTTCTGATTTTTTTATGCCAATATGTAAGACAGAGCATTTATTTGTTGAGATCTGAAGTTGCCATTTCATTGACCATTCTGATACATAGTCAAGGTTTTTTTGGAGGGTAGTAGTATTGTCTGTGGTGTTGAATAGCTTTACATCATTAGCAAAGAGAATGCAATTGCTCTTAATATGATCACAGAGGTCATTTATGTAGAGTATGAAAAGAGTTGGTCCTAAAACACTGCCTTGGGGGACACCACTGTTGACAGGTACAGAATTTGATAGGACAATCCCAGTTTTGACCATTTGTTGTCTGTTTGACAGGAATGCTTCTATCCAGTTATGTAGGTGTCCAGAGATACCATAAGATTTTAGTTTTAGTAGTAGTTTGTTGTGTACCACTGAATCAAGGGCTTTACAGAAGTCTATGTAGATTGCATCTACTGATCCACTGATCGAGTTGTGTAGTCCATATGTTTTTGCAGTGTAAGAGTTGCAGATTACAGGATAGGTTTTTTTCCTGAAACCAAATTGTTTATTAGAGAGTAGGTTGTTTGTCTCTAAGTGGAGGATAATGGATTGGTTAATAATTAATTCCATCACTTTACAGGTAAAGCAGTATAAAGAGATTGGTCTGTAATTTTCAACTAGGCTGGGGTCTCCCTTTTTGAAGATGGGGATGACTGTGGCTTGTGACCATAGTTTTGGCAAGGAGCTGGTCCTGAAAGATTTTTCAAAGATTATGCTTAGAGGTTTGGCTATGGCAGTGTATAGCTTGTTTAAGAAGTAGGCACATATTCCTTCCGGTCCAATAGATAGGGATGGTTTTAGATTGCGCAGTGCTTTTTCAACAATGTCTTCTGTAAAATCGATATGTATTAGATCATTGTAATTGTCTGTGGTTTGACTAGGAAATACTGGGCTTGATCCATTGCGGTTTACAAATACTGAGCCAAAGAATGTGTTAAAGAGGTTTGCTTTGATGGTGTCGTTGTTGCAGTCTTTGTCATTAGGTCCTTTCAGGGGTGGGATGGACCTTGAATCTTTTAGTTTGTTGTTTAGAAAATTGTAAAAAGCACGGGTGGAATTTGTGCGTAGATTTTCCTCTTGTTTAATGTGATAATTAGTGTGTTCAGTTTTTATCTGGTGGCATAGATTTTTGTATTGGCTTTTGAAGTTGGCAACGTGACCAGATTTGTTTTTTTGCCAAAGTGATCTCTTTTTAGACTGAAGTTTCCTTATTGTTATGGGTAATCTGCTTTTCCTGGTTTTGGGAGTTGTTATTGATACACATGCTGTAGTTTGATGGCTCTTTTGATTTCTAGTAAGAATACGTTGTAATGGTCTTCAACAGTATTGCATCCAGTGTATAGAAATTGCCAATCAAGGGAAGAGAGATAGTTGATTATAAGATCATAGTTGCCTTTTTTGAAGTTATAATTGGGGATTTTGTCGTTGTGATGATTTTTGTGTGGACATATGTTGAGACAAAAGTCAATCATGTTGTGGTCACTGCTGGAAAAGGGTTCTTTAATTTGTATTCCGTAAATTGAATTCAAACTATTGCAGAAGATGAGATCGAGGCAGTTGTTAAGCCTAGTATTGTTGGTTACTAGTTGTTCCAGTCCCAGATTTGTTACAGCATTGTAGAAGGTTGCATGTATGGGTTCAGTTGTACATTTGTTAAGGGTTCAGTTAATATGAGGTAGATTGAAGTCACCAAGAAAGATAAAAGTGCATGGGCAGGATGCTGCCCATGTTAGTAGTATATTTAGCTTGTTTACATGTTCGATGTCATAATCAGGGGCTCTGTAACATAGTAAGAACCAAAATGTGATATATAAGGTCAGTTCACAGATAATGGTCTCAGGAAGAGCAAGATCTTGGGTGACTTGGATGTTTTTTAGATGTAAGGAATTTTTATAGAAGATAGCAACACCACCTCCTCTACGGATTTCACGATCTGATCAGTAAACATGATAGTCTCTTACTGAGGTAATGGAGTCAGGGAGAGATGCGTTGAGCCATGTTTCACAGACAAATATGATGTCAAATTTAGCCGTATTTAGCAAGAGGAGAAATTCAGGTATTTTATTTACAAGGCTTCTTGCATTGAGTAGCTTACATTTAAGGCCAGTTGTAGTTTGAACTGAGGTATTTGGGGGTGTGCGAGCCTAGTCTTGGATGATGGTGGATTGGTTGAAGAAGGTTTGGATGCTGAGTTGTGGGTTGTGTGACTTTCTTTTTTGTAAGAACAAGTTTTATTGATTTTTTGAAGACAAACAAGACATAGAACATAAAAGTATAAAACCTCCTTTCTAAAAATTACTTATAAATTTTAGCAAGGCAAATAAAGCATTATTTTTTAAGACATAGTTCCACATTATCACATTTCCATTTAAACACATATATATCTTTTCCAAATTTCTCATTGTTTCTCCCTTCACTTTTATTCAATTATATTTCTTTCTATCAAGGTTTTATTAATTCTCAATCAGTCATAAACACACAAAATACAAAACATAGAACATAAAAAGATAAAACCTCGTTAATTGTCATTTATACATGTCTTTTCCAAATTTCTCTCCCTTTAGTTTTATTCCTCCAAGGTTTTATTAATTCACAATCAAACATAGCTAACCAAAACACAAAACATAAAACATAAAACTTCTTTTGAAAAGTGGCTTAGCCCCGGGTTACATCTTTTTTTACAGACCTAAATCAAATTCATGCTCACCTTATATACCATTCATATCTTATTAACCATTCTCTATATAACTTGTCCCTTCTTTTCACTCTCTTAATTATATTTTATTTATTTCATCTTATTTAAAAATCATTATGCTTGTATCTTTTGCCCGTTCTTTTCCAATCATTTATTTATCTCTTCTCTTTAGCAAAGAATTTGCCCTGTAATCACTTTTAAAGTGTGACGCCTTTCTATCTTTCCTCTAAAATAAAACTTAAAATAATACATAATTTCCATCCTGATTCTGCGTAGTACATTCTACATATTACATCTTAAAATAAAAGAATAATAAACTTATAGTATAGTTAAGTATATAATTTCCATTCTAGTTCTAGTTCTAATTAGTACATTATTTTAGAATAAGAAAATGAAATACTAAGTTTATAATAACATTAAAACAATAACGAATTAAACTATAACTAAACATTAATCATTTTACACATTCTCCTTAATATTTTATTAAATATTGAGATCTATCATTATTAGACATTTTAATATTTTATTAGACTATTTCAAATGCAAATGCTACAATACTATCTTATGTACTCTTGCAGAATCTTTCTTTAATTATACACTATCCTTTATCCTTTATCTCTAAAAAAAATCTGCTTTTTGGCATCTTGTTCTAGCCCGTGGCTTTTCCCCCCCTTTTTCCCTCCCTTTCTTCTCCAGTTTGGTCTTTTTGCCCCCCCCCATCATACCTCCCCCTTTTTAACTTCCCCTCTCTGTTGTAATTCTCTTTTCAATTGCTTTCTAACATTGTACCTTTTTTTCACCCTATTTTTCTTTTTCTTGGTTGTTTTATTAAATCTTAAATTCTCATTTTTCCTTCCTCTCTTCCCATTTTCTTTCTTAATCGAACTTTTTAGTCCATTAAAGATGGCTTCTTCCTTTTCTTCTTCTTCTTCTTCTCCTTCTCCTTCTTCCTCAAGTATTTGCTGGTATGTAGAAACCGCCATTTCTAAAAAGTGCAAGACAGCTGCCAAAGAATCCTTGCTATTTTGTTCTCTTTCTTTTAATTTTTCATATTCCATTTTTAGTTCATCCACAGACGGTGCAATTGTAAATTTTTAAGAACAATGTTTTCAATCTTAAAGTAATTTCCAAATGTCAAAATTATCAAACAATCCAAACAGACAAAAATTATTTCCTCTTCTTCTCTTTACAATTTTTCCTCCAGGGGCAAAATCCCAAATATATTTTAAAAGCCGTATTACAGCTAATTGGTGGCCTTATAATCTTCAAGGCGCCTCCTCCAACAAATTTTTAAAGATTTTTTTTTTTTAGTCCTCTCCTTCCCACTTGTAACAAAGAGCTTATTTTTACCTTTAAAAAGCAGGTTTTTCTGTGCTCATTTGCTTTTTCCGTAAGGAGGAAGGGGAGTGAACTTTCCTTCAGCACTTTCGCCGCTGTAACAACTTCTTTTGGAAACAAATGTATCAATCCGAAAGTCAGGTTTCCAGGGTATTTTAAAAGTAACTTAATGTCCTGGTTCAGCCAAGAAAACCTCCTTCTGGCTCTTCCTCCGCACAGTCTTATCTGGTTGAAGATTCCTTTGTGGCTGCCATCTCTGACAGCCACTCCACCACCTCAGGAAAAAGGAGTCTAGCCGGCTGGGAAGAGGGGGTGCGATATCCCCAGACCCCTGCCCAGATCTCCTCTGTCTTCCCCCAAATCCAGTTGGATCGGGGGTACCTCAGCAGCAAGCACAGCAGGGACCCACAAAGAAGCAGATTCCTGCCGTCGCCGAAGCCTTGCAACCGGAAGTTCCATGACTTTCTTTTGATACAGTCTGCACAGTAATCAATGTACAGATCCTTCTCTCCATTGTCTAGATGATTTTTGAGTTCTGTGTGTAGTATACGGGAGCGGGCACGTTGCTGTAAGGTTAGATCAGGACGAGATCAGAGGTTTTTATGGTTGGTGTTGTTTTTGGCGAGTGAATTTATAGTATAAATGAATTTACATTTGCTTAATTCATTTTTGCAAATGACTCTGCAGAAGCGTGGGGCCACAGAGCTGTCTCTGTTTTTGAGCTCTCGGCCAATGCGAGAAATGTCAAGTATTTCATCAGGGGAGATGGTTGATTCTTGATAGTCACTGATGATGTTGCAGACAATTGTGATATCATCATTGTTATTGATGTCCTCTAGACCAAATAAGATGGTGTTAGGATGCTTTCGTTCGCGCTTGACAGCTTCTCTGACGAGGATTTGTAGGCATCCATGATAGTATTCATTTTTCTTTCTTTCTATACCTTTAAAAGTTAAAGCATTCTTGCCAGACCAAAACAAAAAAGGCAAACCATTTATTTATTTAAAGCAGATTTAAATAAACAAACGAACAACTCAAAGATAGTTTCCTTCACATGCCGTCACTCTGCTAAACAACTAATTCCCACAACACTATCTTATGCCCTTGGTCTAAGATATAAAACTATGTAGTAGGGCTGTATTACTACTATCCTTCTCATTTTTCCTATTGTCTATTCCTTCCAGCATCTTATGATGATCCCTTTGTTGTTTTTACCTTATGATTTACGCTGATTGTTTTTATTTAGTATCTTATGAATATCACTGTGTGCTGTATCTTATGATTCATGATGATTGATTATGATCATGATTTATCACTTGTGGCTTGTATATGCACTAAGAGCTTATGCACCAGAGACAAATTCCTTGTGTGTCCAGTCACACTTGGCCAACAAAGAATTTTATTTCTCTGACAGGGAAGAAAATAGTTTAAAGGAAGGGTTCATCGTATTTGGGGAACAAAGGACCACATTCCCTAAAAGTGGTCAAAACCAGTAAATGCATAGACCAGGACAAAAGAATTTAATTTAAGTTAATGTAAAGTTTATTAAAATAAATTAAATATAATAAATACAGAGTTTTCCAATGCGTCAAAACGTTTTCTAGATCTGTCACATTGAAAATTAACAGGCAGCTGTGAATTTGGAAAAGGCTTCAATGCCACCCTTGAGACTTTGACAGATCACATGCATTAGTATCTCTCTCTAGCCAGGCTGATGCCAGAAAGTACAAATGGGTGTTGTGATATCTCAGTACAAGCTTTGCTCTTCCGTGTCTGCATCACAGTCCCATATTCAAGTAGATAAAGGAGTAAAGCTTGTATCTGATGGATGTTTACCTTGTTTCCCCTTGGATCAATGTGATCCCAGGTGATGCTGGTTACAGATAGTCCTGCAAGTTACAAGTAGTCCTCAACTTACAACCACAACTGGGATTGGAATTTCTGTTGCTAAGCAAGGCAGATATTATGTGAGTTATATCCAATTTTGCAATGTTTATGGAGGTTCTCAGTCATCCAGATCATGGTTGCCCCAAAGGTGCTTTTTCAAAAGGCAACTGGACTTTGTTTTTCTTTGAAGATGTTTCATCACCTTTGGGCCAGTTTTACAACCTTTTTTGACATGGTTTTTAAGTGAATCACTGCAATTATCAGTTGAATCATGTGGTTTTCAGCAAATCCAGCTTCTCTTATTGACTTTGCTTGTTGGAAGCTGATTGGGAAGATTGCAAATGGTGATCACATGACTCCAGGATGCTGCAACTATTGTAAAAACATAGCAATAGCACTTAGACTTATATACCGCTTTATAGTGCTTTTACAGCCCTCTCTGAGTGGTTTACAGAGTCAGCCTATCGCCCGCAACAACCTGGGTCTTCATTTACCAACCTCAGAAGGATGGAACATCGAATCAATCTTGAGCCAGATGAGGATTGAACTCCTGGCACTGGGCAGAGTTAGTCTGCAATATTGCATTCTAACCACTGTGCCACCAGGGTTCATATATGCCCATTGCCATGCACCAAATTTTGAATTTTAACTGTGGGGGTGTTACAACCATTGTAAATATGAAGACCAGTTGTCAATCACTTGTTTCAGTGCTGTTGTAACTTTGAGCAGTCACTAAACAAATGGATGTAAGTCAAGGATTATCTGTATTATACCCCCATGCTAAAAGATAGGCTATCACTGTATATATTAACTGTAGCTATTTCCATAAACTTTTCTAAATAGTAATGATTAGCAACCTCTACACACTTTCCCTCATCTGCTAATTTAAGAACATCTCCATGTCTGCCTCACTCTCTTTTTCTTTGTTTCATCAAGAAGAGGAACATGGTGCTGGAGAAGAAGAAGAAGAAGAAGGTGAGACAATGATCAGGTCCACAGATGTGGTTAAAGTGTGCTTAACCATGGAGTATATGTCAATGGAGATTCTCAATCCTCCAAGACATGGTTGTCCCATTCATGCCTTTACAACTTATTCCCATTCCCAACTCCATTCCCATGAGTTTGCCTCTAGCTCGTTCTCTGAGTAAAACAGGTTGTCCCAGTGTTCAAGCAACAATTTCTCCTTATTCCGATAAAGTCCAAGGCACCACCGAGGTGGAGAACCTCCCTCAAGCTTTGTCACACATTGTTTGAAAAGAATCCCGTGACTGGAAACAAACACTCTGGGAAATGATAAGGATCAATAATTGGAGTGGCAAATCCTAAACCAATCTTTTTTTCCCTCCTGCCAATTCTCTTCCTTCCCGAAGGGTGTGGGGCATAGTAAATAATATTTGGAAGACAGGACTCCATTCCAATTGGAATTACAACGGACTGCCAGGTTTTTCAGGAAGATTCCTTTGTAGTATAGCCAGATCCATTAAAATATTTAAATCCAATATTGTTTTTATGATCTGTATTCCCTCACTTATGTGCTTGAAGCTGTTTGATTTACCCTTGAAATATTTTCCTTTCTCTCTCTTTTTTTCTTTTTTTTTGCTTTTTGCTTTTTTCTTTCTATGTAACAGATTCTAACATCTGATAATTTTGCAACATGTCTTTCTTTACCTTTTGGTATCCAGAAACAACATCTGGGTGCACCCTTTGGGTCATTTTGAGTAATTCTGGATCGTTTTGAATAACACACATTTTCAATCAGTGCCTTAAATCTGAACAGGGAGAAGAAGCTACCTACAGTACTGAATCAATCTTTTTAATCTTTTTTTCTGTGAAGGAGAACAATTTCCCCTTAGGAATACTACTGCACAACCAGTGCTGATTGGCTACATTTTCTATAATATTTGATTGGCTAGCATGAACTCAAAGTAAGATGGTTTCAAGTCAAAGCTGCCACCAAAACAGAAGTAGTCAAAGGAGTCATGAGTTAAAATTGGGGAAATTTTTAGGAAGTATTACACACACACACACACACACACACACACACACACACACACACACAGAGTCTTTCTCAGGAACATGCTTTCCACAAAAGTCTTTGCTGGGCCAGTTGTTGTGATTTGTTACTTAAGTGATTGTGAGTCTAGCATATGTGAAACTTCACACAACTGCATCCTGGCATATTGGGGGCAGCCCGGGGGTTGTGGGGGTGGGAATTGATTTCAGAAGTCAGTGTGCTTGCTACTGCTATTTTCCTTTTATAATGTGAAATTAGCACAATCCTGATTTTTAATTTTCTGGAAGGCTTTTTTAGTTGCCTCAGCACAAGAACACGGTCCATATTGCCTCTGCCAAGTAAATGATGAGCTATCAACCTCAACCAAAGATCCTTTATGTCATGATATCCTGGTCCCACTAAGGGACGTGGCAAGGTTTCTTGAAAAAGCAGCCAAGTTTGAAAACGAGAAAAATCTGAAAGAAACAACAAGCTTGAAAATCTGCAAAGAAACAAGCTTGATTTCTTAAATCAAGAATTCCCAACCTTGGCAACGTTTAAGATGTGCGGACTTCGATTCCTAGAATTCGCCAGCAGCATGGCTAGCTGGGAATTCTGGGAGTTGAAGCCCACACGTCTTAAAGTTAACAAGATTGGGAAACTCTACCTTAAATCTATCAGAACGTAAGTTCAGACTCCTATAAGGCTTCCTTGATTCTCCTCAACCCCACATTTTTCCCAGGAAAAAAGGTCCCAGCATTTTAATCTGAGGCCTTTGGACTGTAAAAGAACAAAAGGGGTGGTGATAGTAGGGAAAATAATATCCACGATTGCTCCCCCTGCAATCTCTATCCATGATACGGTGGATGGCCTTTCCTCCCTTCAGCTAATGAGTCATTCTTTTAATAATTCACATCCTTTTATTCTCCATCTCTAAATGAAGTCTTTCCCAAACTGGTGTTCTTTAGTTGTATCAGACTCTTGCATTCATCATCTTCAGCTTTTCTGGCTCTCAATTCAATGGGAAGCTTGGATCTGATCCATATGGCGTGCACCAGCTTGGGGAAAGTGGCCTACAGATGGATTGATCTAACTACCTTTTCCTTTTTCTCCTGGATTTGGTGTCTACCACCTCCTTCTCTATTCTTGCTTCCTCCTTTCCCTGCCCAATATTTGTTTTCCAACCTCTTGTCTCTGCCATTTATGTTGTTTGCAGTAGCCGACGAACCTGACCAGGCTCCTGAGCCAGGTATATTTATCCTTCACTTTCATTTTCCCTCTCGGGAAAGGGGTGTGTGGGCGGGGAAAAACCCTTGCGGGAGGCCAAGGTACAATCATTTCCTTCATTCTATCTGAATCACAGTCTCAGATACCAGACAGGCTGCGTAGAAGGCACCAGCTGTCCTTGGCTGGTCCAAATTCAGGCTGAAATTTCTCAGAAATTCAACATCATAGGGGTATTGTAGTCACAAATGTTTAGTGTAAATGCTGCAACAGAAGCCACTATTAGTATTACCATATATACTCATGGAAAGCCCACCTACGGATAAATGAAACTCAGTTTTGTGGGGAGGGTGCATTTTGGCACCTTAAATTCTCAATTTATTCATAAGTATATACAGTATCTCCCAGAACAGCCAAGAGACCTGCAATAGTGGTCCAATCTCTATAAGCAAGTGATAGAAATGGTTATATATACCTTCATGTAGGTCTGCTTTGTAAAAAGCAGTAAAAAGCTTGCACATCAGGGAAAACTTTAGTTTAGTTCTACATAAGTGGGTCATTGCTTGAAATAAGAGATAAGTACTAACAAAATCTATAATCTGCTATTTTATTTACCATCAATAGTGGTTTCTAGGGAGAGTTCCCCATATAGAAAATAAGCACTGGAGGAGGAGTGGAAAATGGGACTTGTAGAAATGGATGAAGGGATAAATAAATTTACAGTGGTAAAAGAAAGTTATAAGGTGTTGAATGGATTTGAAATGCCATTCCTCTCTGCCATCTTGTTTCTTCATGTACCCACTATGAAGCCAATGGCTTCTTGGCCTTGTTTGCCAAAAATTCCCTCACTGATCTTACTCTGTTTCCTCCAATGTACAGGTAGTTCTCGACTTACAACTACTACCGAGTCCAAAATTTCTGTTACTAAGCAAGACATTTGCCCCATTTTACCACCTTTTTTGCCTCAGTACTTAAGTGAATCACTGCAATTGTTAATTTTAATAACACTATTGTTAAGTGAATCTGGCTTCCCCATTGACTTTGCTTGTCAGAAGGTCACGAAAGGTCATTGCATGACCCCTTAGATACTGCAACCATCGTGATTATATTCCAGTTACCAAGTGTCTGAATTTTGATCATACGGCTATGGGGAAGTTTGCAACAGTTGCATGAAAAATGGTCAAAAGTCACTTTTTTCAGTGCTGTTGTAACTTTCATGGTCACTAAACAAATGGTTGTAAGTCAAGAACTACCTATATTTCCTCCTCTCCACCCATCCACACTCCCCCCCCCCACAAAATGGGATTTGTGCAGATTTCTAAAAGAACAGGCCCGGCTGATATATTATATAAAGATATATCTTTGGGGCTCTGATGCTGTCTGTGTGCTATGTATGTCCTGGATACATGCATGTAGTGTGTAGCAATGTGTTCTCTCTGTGTATCTAAATATCTGAGAACACGCATACCCTCTCCCCTGTCTATAAGGGAAGCAACATATCGAAGCCCAAATGGTGGTAGTAGATATTTTCCAGTACCCTATAGACATGGCTGTGACCAAACCAACATCAGATCATGAAAACTGTATTTTGTTTGGTATCTATCGATCTTCATGGAGTAATTTCTGGGTTTTGGGTTTGATTTAGAGCTCATTTCTAGGATCAGTTTTCAAACCAGAGTTTTGAAATCATATTTTTGGAGCAGAGGAGGGAGCTATAGGCTTAGAGAGGCAATCTAGTGCGGGGTTGGTATCATACAGTGACAATGAAAGGTTGGCAAGATGTTCTGAAGGTTAAATAGCATTTTAAAGGACAGAACAATTCCACTTTAAGTAAGGAAACCTATACAGAAGGCCAATGATGATGGCAATTTTGGTCTTTCCAGTTGCTTCAAACTATACTTTCTAGCAACCCTCACCACTGTCCTGGCTTACCGTGGGTCTAGGACAACACGTTATGGCCAACTTGCCACTGGACAACTCTCTATGGCCGACTTGCTTCAGGACAACTCACAATGAAACAATTCAATGCTGTATTAATTGTTTCTTTCGGTTACTTTTATAATTGTTAGCCATGTTTTCGTCAAAACTATTGTAACTCTTGTATTTCTGGATTGACTTTCTTTATTTTATTATTATTGGCCATGGTTTTATTGACATTAAAATAACTTTTGTATTTGTTGAATTGTCCCATAGGAAGTTGGCCGTGGTAAGTTGGCTACAATGAATTGGTTTCAGTGAATTGGAGGTAGCAAATTGTCCCATTCTGGCTTATTGATGCTGTTGGAAATTGCAGTTCTGCAACAATTGAAAAATCAAAATATTGGGTGCCAGCAGATGATTTGAAGACTACCTTGTAACATCACCTATCTGGCCCAAGTATAAAACACATCTCAGCAGCCACCAGAACATCTCTCCAGTTCAGACCAATGTAGAACAGTCACTTTATCAAAATATAGATCTATCTAGTCTATTGTCAGGCACTTTTTATTCCTGTCCTAATTGGCCTCTTGTTATGAATGTGTAGAAATGTATGCCATCCCTTGTCAGGATTGTGCATAATTCAGTTTCCTTCAGTTTCCTGCATCACCTTTGACAAGTCTTTCGCTTCAAAGTTTTCTTCTTTCTCTGCCTCTAATAATCGTCTTTCTATCTTCTGTTTCTCACAGAAGAAGAACGTCCCAGACCAAGGTAAGAAAGGGAAAGAGTAACCAGTTATACCCCAGTAGAGTTGCAATAATTTTTATCAGTTCCTGTGTCTTTCTACAGTGAAATCCGATTTTTCCTCTATTTTATGCTATTTTATGATCAAAAGATGTGATGACAAGTAGTCCTTGACTCACAACCATTTGTAACAATGGTGATCACATGACTCCTTGACAGGTGCAATTGTATATAAGCCATATGCCAGGTACCAAGCCCCTGAATTTTGATCACACGACCATGGGGATAGTGCAATGGTCATAAGTGTGAAAAATGGTCATAAATTACTTTTTTTCTATGCTTCTGTAACTTCAGACGGTCACTAAACAAATGGTTGTAAGTTGAAGACTACCTGTAGTAAGCACTGTTTTATCCTTATAGAGTTTGTAAAACTTGCCCTTCAATAGAGAAAGAATTTATTTAAAGATTGTAGAGTTGGGAAAGGTGGGATTGGTACCCAAAAGTACACTTCAATTTAACGATATTCTTCTTTCTTGGTCTGTGTTCTCTCAAACAAAGGCCAATGGTTCCACAGTTAGCTCCTCCAAAAATCCCCGAGGGGGAGAGAGTGGATTTTGATGTGAGTATTTTCTTAATCATTCGTAACCTTTTTTACATGAGGGAGTGTGCCAATGGACATCTCCCAGTCCTTCATGGGCTGCTGGGGGTTCGCAGGAGTTCAGAAGAGCCTTTAGCTAAGATTCTGCACAGTTCACAGAATCCCCAAATCCCACTCCTGGCTGGTCCCGCCCACCCCCCGCTAGGATTCCCCATGCAGCCCATTTGGGCTGCAGGTCAGAGCAGGGTGTGTGCAGAGGCTCAGGGAGGGGATCAAGTTTGGGAAGGACTCTAGAGAGCGTCCGAAGCCCCATGGGGCAGTTTCACCTTCCTGGGAGACTTGAGGAAAGAGCCCAGGGAGGGCACCCCCCCGCCACTGTGGTGCAGGAGGCCAACTAGGCCACACACCCCATGGCCACGCCCAACCAGCAACCGGGCAGACAACTCTTTTCAAACAATTTTTGAAGCCCACCCCTGCCTACAGTTATTGCCAATGAATGTACTTCTTTCAGATGGAATAGTTTGGCAAGCACCAAAGGACAATAATGTTCTTCAGAGTTATTAGAAGGAAGCGTTTTTCATTATTTATATCTCTTTTTTCTTTTTTGATGATGACGAGCAGGACATCCATCGCAAACGGATGGAGAAGGATCTTCTGGAGCTGCAGACTCTCATTGACGTACACTTTGAGCAGAGGAAAAAAGAAGAGGAAGAACTTGTGGGTCTCATGACAAGGATTGTGAGTTCTCATTCTGTGTGTAACTTGAGGCTAACAGTGGCAGCCATGTTATCCTTTTACATATCTATTTGAATTAGTTCATTTTTCTGGGCTAAAATTTTGAATGGTTTCTTGGCAGTTGGCAAACATTTCAAGAAGTAAACAAAAGAAACCCAAAGGCCAGTCTTCCAGACTTTCCAGAGTATTGTCTAGGGACCATGGCTGGCTGGAGAATTCTGGGAGTTGAAGTCAACTTATCTTAAAGTTGCCAGTGTTGGGAAACACTGCCTTAAAACATGACAGACAGAACGACAGACAGAATAAGAGACAGAACAAACTGTATCAGTATTATATAAATTGTGAGAAGGTTTTACATAATACCATAACATTCTCTCTTTGCAGATCATCCCTCTTTCTACCATGACCTGTGTGACAGTTCATACATTGCTGTTTGCTCTTTAAATTCACCTGTATTGTTATAAATATGAGATCATCTTACCCAACCAGGACTTTCTCAGTCTTCCCATTTCTTTTGATCTATTTGCTGTTCTTTCATGTATTTGGTTTGCAATCTGAATCTCATTCGTTGCCTCTATATGACCAAACTACATCAGTACAGTTCTTTCATACTCCTTTTTTCTGTACTAATATGCATTGAATATTTTTCTGTCCAGTCCACATTAATTCATTACCTACTGATTCTTGGCTCTACTTCTTGTTCTTCTTCACATACTTCTTAAGCTTTTTTTTACTTCTCCTGATATACTCACTTTGCACTTCCATGACACATGGAGGAAGCACCTTATAATTGCTTAAGAAATATGCACAGCTCACACAAACCATATATCATCTATTTTTCTTTGACCAACATTTGTACATCTTTCAACTTCTCTACCCATAACCTTCTTCAATAAAGGCTCAACCCTATCTATTTGCTCCAGTTTTTCACCATTTATGTAAAACTTGAAGTTGTTTACTGTAATTTCCCTGTCAAACACAACTACTTTGCTCTTTCACACACAAATGTTCACATCTACACTCCTTTTTGCATTGCACCAAATCATTTGATCCCAGGCCATGTGTGTGAGGTGTGTGTGTGTATACAAATACATATGTATATACACACAATATATATATATATGCGCACACAAATATTATAATATATATACCATATTTTTCACGCTATGAGACACTACAGACTATAAGAAGCACATTAGCTTTAGAGGAAGAAAACAAGAAAAAAAAATCTGCCTCTGACTCCCAGAATCCATCAGTATTCGTTGGGCTACTGTCCTTGCAGCAAACAGCAAACAGCCTGGTCAGCTTCAGTACATTATCGCAGCCCCAGCACCTGGCTCTTCAGGGCTCTGCTCCATTGCGCCCACCATTGGTCAGTTGAGCTGAGCTGCTGCCGCCACTGGGGAATGCAGGAGCCTTCACTGCTGAGCAGCTGACTGGCAGTTGAATCGCCCCACCCCGGAACACCACCGATCAACTGTTCTAGGCGGTGGGAATCACCACCGCCACTACTGCCTATCTCTGCCCATTCACTGCTGCCCATTCATCACTGCCCATCGGCAGGGAATGAAGTGCAGCAATCAGGCGACAATGAACGGGTGGCAGCAAATAGGTGGCGATAGACGGCAGCAGTGGCAATCCCCGTCACCTAGAACAGCTGATCGGTGATATTCCGGGAGGCTGATCCAAACACCAATCAGCTTCTCAGTAGCGAAGTCTCCAGCATTCCCCAGCAATGGTGCCGCACCAATCCCCTTCCCCCACCGTAATATTCGCTCTATAAAACGCACAGACATTTCCACCCCTTTGGGGGGGGGATGTGTCTTACAGTGCAAAAAATAGTGTGTGTTTGTATGTATGTGTGTGTGTGTGTATATAATTCTGTAATGTATGTTTGTTTTGTATGTATGTATGTATGTATGTATGGTATTCACCTTTGTTCGGGTATTTTCCCACGTCATTATAATTGTGCTTTTAAAGTTGGAGCGATGTTTCAGCAGAATCTCATCCGCCATCATTAGGCTTGTGTATCGGGTTCATTGAACATTATATATATATGGATCTTTGGTTATTCGGGTTTTCTCCCGCTTAAGATTGGAAGTATCTAGGCAACGTTTCGATGAAGTCTTATTCATC